AGCTGGTTGAGAGATAGCCAAGAGTGTGCAAAGCTGTCATCAAGGCAATGGGTGGCTACTTTGAAGGGTGGCTAATTTGTTTAACACTTTTTTGTGTTTTTCATAGTTTTGATGTCTTCACTATTATTCTACAATGTAGAAAATTGTAAAAAAAATAAAGAAAAACCCTTGAATGAGTAGTGTGTCCAAACTTTTGACTGGTACTGTATGTGTGTTTGTGTTCTACCTTCTCGTAGGGATCAGAGTCATAGTTGAGTCCTATTCCACAGTCGTCTGTGATTTCAGACAGATCCTCATCATCAAACTCCTCCAGACTAATGTCATGGGAAGGCCTGGAAGAACAGGAGGGAGAATGTTAATAGTACACACACATAGTACACACACCACACATACCATCATCAACTGATTATGTCAGGAGCAGAGATAGCAGAGACACACACACACGTTTGTCATTTCACCCCTAGTCCTCATGTACCTGACCCCTCCACCCTCCACCCTTCAAAGGGAAGCATCTCTCTGACTCATGCCCACACAGAGAGCTCCGACCCTGGGGAAGCCTGCTCTGAGATATGGCCTGCCACTGTCTATCTGGGTCTGTGCCTCATTCACCAGACACACAAGACACAAGAACTCACACACCCTTCATATGTTGCTTTGCTCTCTAAGCAGTTCAGCCACTATTCTCTATTTTAACAGGTCCCCAGTTTACAGACACAATAGTGCTTAAATGAGTTCATCATCCTGTTTTCTTAGTTTCTATAAAACATCTGTATATCTGTGGTCCATTAGTTCCAACAGAGGTTCAGCTCTCTACTCCATTAGTAAGAAACTGTGTGAGGCTCAGAGGGAAATGCTGCATTGCAGGTTTTCTAGTGAGGACAAGACAGTCCAGACAGGGCCTAGTACAGATGTATACAGACCACTGTGAAGCAGGGTAAGTCAGAAAATACATCAGAGGTAGAAATGTAAAGCTAGATCAATGTCTAAATCAGAATTGTATACTTTATCAAAGCTCAATCAATGACAAAATCAGTGCTAAATCAAAAATCATGACTAGTTCACACACACATACACACACACACACACACACACACACACACACACACACAGCTCTTGACCAGCAGCAGCCTGCAGGGTGATACAGGGACAGAATTTGGTATGTCATTAAATATGAAGTGCTTTCTGAAAATAAATTATTCAGGCCTTTGTGATCTCTCTTTACTGTAATAAAAAAGCACTTACAGGACTGTTGTTTCTGTATCAGTATGTGTAGAAACTATCTCCAATTATGTTAACATTAGAAATGACAACTCTGAAAATATCTGGAGAACTATTTGGGTGCACATTGTTATTCATGACCTTGGAGAGGTGTTCATATCTCAGTGTATTGTGATTTAAATCTGTATTACGGACTAACAATAAGTACTCGTATACAATGGAATATCAAATCAAAACACATTTTTTTTGTCACATACACGTGTTTAGCAGATGTTATTGCGGATGTAGCGTAATGCTTGTGCTTCTAGCTCCGACAGTGCAGTAATATCTAACAAGTAATATCTAACCATTTCACAACATATAGCCAATACACACAAATCTAAGAAAGGAATTAATTAAGAATATATACATATATGGACGAGCGATGTCAGAGCGGCATGGACTAAGATACAGTAGAATAGTATAGAATACAGTATAAACCAAGAAAGACACATTTGTTGAGCTGAGACACTTTTCTTTGATGTGTAAATTATCAGAGAATTCCTTTGATATCATATTTGCACTTCTCCAGAAATTGCAGAAGATATTCACATTAGCGGCTGCTGCCTATAGAAATAGACTAGAAATCACTGCCCACTTTAAGAATGGAACACTAGCCACTTTAATAATCTTTACATATCTTGCATTACTCATCTCATATGTACAGTGGGGAAAAAAAGTATTTAGTCAGCCACCAATTGTGCAAGTTCTCCCACTTAAAAAGATGAGAGAGGCCTGTAATTTTCATCATAGGTACACGTCAATTATGACAGACAAATTGAGAATTTTCTTCTCCAGAAAATCACTTTGTAGGATTTTTAATGATTTGTTTTGCAAATTATGGTGGAAAATAAGTATTTGGTCACCTACAAACAAGCAAGATTTCTGGCTCTCACAGACCTGTAACTTCTTCTTTAAGAGGCTCCTCTGTCCTCCACTTGTTACCTGTATTAATGGCACCTGTTTTAACTTGTTATCAGTATAAAAGACACCTGTCCACAACCTCAAACAGTCACACTCCAAACTCCACTATGGCCAAGACCAAAGAGCTGTCAAAGGACACCAGAAACAAAATTGTAGACCTGCACCAGGCTGGGAAGACTGAATCTGCAATAGGTAAGCAGCTTGGTTTGAAGAAATCAACAGTGGGAGCAATTATTAGGAAATGGAAGACACACAAGACCACTGATAATCTCCCTCGATCTGGGGCTCCACGCAAGATCTCACCCCGTGGGGTCAAAATGATCACAAGAACGGTGAGCAAAAATCCCAGAACCACACGGGGGGACCTAGTGAATGACCTGCAGAGAGCTGGGACCAAAGTAACAAAGCCTACCATCAGTAACACACTACGCCGCCAGGGACTCAAATCCTGCAATGCCAGACGTGTCCCCCTGCTTAAGCCAGTACATGTCCAGGCCCGTCTGAAGTTTGCTAGAGTGCATTTGGATGATCCAGAAGAGGATCGGGAGAATGTCATATGGTCAGATGAAACCAAAATAGAACTTTTTGGTAAAAACTCAACTCGTCTGTTTGGAGGACAAAGAATGCTGAGTTGCATCCAAAGAACACCATACCTACTGTGAAGCATGGGTGTGGAAACATCATGCTTTGGGGCTGTTTTTCTGCAAAGGGACCAGGACGACTGATCCGTGTAAAGGAAAGAATGAATGGGGCCATGTATCGTGAGATTTTGAGTGAAAACCTCCTTCCATCAGCAAGGGCATTGAAGATGAAACGTGGCTGGGTCTTTCAGCATGACAATGATCCCAAACACACCGCCCGGGCAACGAAGGAGTGGCTTCGTAAGAAGCATTTCAAGGTCCTGGAGTGGCCTAGCCAGTCTCCAGATCTCAACCCCATAGAAAATCTTTGGAGGGAGTTGAAAGTCCGTGTTGCCCAGCGACAGCCCCAAAACATCACTGCTCTAGAGGATATCTGCATGGAGGAATGGGCCAAAATACTAGCAACAGTGTGTGAAAACCTTGTGAAGACTTACAGAAAACGTTTGACCTGTGTCATTGCCAACAAAGGGTATATAACAAAGTATTGAGAAACTTTTGTTATTGACCAAATACTTATTTTCCACCATAATTTGCAAATAAATTCATTAAAAATAATACAATGAGATTTTCTGGATTTTTTTCTCTCATTTTGTCTGTCATAGTTGACGTGTACCTATGATGAAAATTACAGGCCTCTCTCATCTTTTTAAGTGGGAGAACTTGCACAATTGGTGGCTGACTAAATACTTTTTTCCCCCACTGTACATATGAGATGAGTAATGCAAGATATGTAAAGATTATTAAAGTGGCTAGTGTTCCATTCTTAAAGTGGGCAGTGATTTCTAGTTTATTTCTATAGGCAGCAGCCGCTAATGTGAATATCTTCTGCAATTTCTGAAGAAGTGCAAATATGATATCAAAGGAATTATCTGATAATTTACACATCAAAGAAAAGTGTCTCAGCTCAACAAAATTGTCTTTCTTGGTTTTCCACGGCAAATCTACTGTGGCAATTTACCCGACACTTTGTATGAAAGGAAATTAATGTTGGTGTAGCCTACTGCTATTATTTTATTTGTTTCTTGTTTATGTAATCCAAAAGTGTCTGGTATGGTTATTTCTTATCAAGATCGGGGGTACAATATCCTAGACTGTCCATATTTGAAATGTGTAACTAAACCAACTCAATTGGGTGGATTGAGTTACTTGTGCCAGAAGGGTGTGGGCTGGAATCAAATCCACGGCAACAAGGTAGGCACATCTATGTGTGCTGAAGGCAGCGTCCAAACTGCTAGAACACCCCAGGCCACAATTAAACAAAATGTTGACAGTTTATTCGTAACCTTAACATACACTTGACACTTGTACGTCATAGCCTAGTGGAGACCAATATCGCCTTGTGTTATTAAGCTATATAAAACTACGGTTGTTGATTTTATGGCTGCATTTCAGATAACTTTTTTGTACTTTTGAATGTTGCAGCGATAGGACCTAGGCCTAGCGTTTGAGGGCAGGCCTGATCCCAATGACTCAACTGCCCCCGCATGGAGAGAAAGAGAACAGCTAATTTTCAGGGACTCACAAGGCTCAATTGAATTTCTTGAACAGGAAAATTCTCTCTGACAAAAGAGTGATCAAGTTAAGATCCGACATCTGTATGTTTAACAATGTATTTCCATATTGAAGCAATGCAATTAAAACAATGTGGACTGCAAACATGTTCAACATAGACTACATGACCAAAAGTATGTAGCATTCTCCTGGCATCCACCAAACCCAGATTTGTCTGTCAGGCTGCCAGACGGTGAAGCGTGATCCATCACTCAAGAGAAAACGTTTCCACTGCTCCAGAGTCCAATTGTGGCAAGCTTTACACCACACCAGCCAGAGCTTGGCATTACGCGTGGTGATCTTAGGCTGCTCGGCCATGGAAATCCATTTAATGAAGAGTTATTGAGTAGTTAGTTTTGTTATGTTATTGTTTGGTTAACGCTGCTATCAGTACAGGGGAGTAGGGGCTGGCCTGCACACTGAATAGAGAATGTGGAGTCAGGGGAAAAAGGAGCTGATAGTCACCTCCTTAAGTCTGATAAGGGATGTGTAAACACACACACGCGTGCCCATTTCACACCCACTTGCATTCATGTGTGCACATATGTGTGTTTGGTACAGTGTATAAGAACAGTCCTAACTCAAGCTAAGGTGTATCCACCAGTGGTTGTGATTTCAGGATTGACCATGAAAAGTCTTGTTATTGTGCTGGTATGTGCTGTGCTCGCTGAGGGACTCCACAGGTAAGTGCTCCAACCACACATCTCTCTTTCTCTCTCACTTCAAATAATATAGTCTCTCACGTTCTTTCCTTTTCACATTTTCACTCCATCCAGATGCCCTTTTTCCCTAAATCCTCCCTAAAACACTTTTCTTTTCTCATCTCTCATAGTCACTGATAACTCCTTGTCGCTCTCTCTCCTCCTCTTTGCAATTGCAAAGTTCACCTTCATATGACAATCTGAGTGTATCTGTGTGCTTGTTACCCTAGGATCCCTCTGGTGACGCATAAGTCAATCTGTGAGAGAATGATGGAGAAGGGAGAACACCTGCCCTACCAAGACCCCGCTCTCAAATACTTTCCTGATGAGTTCGCTGGCTCCACCACCATGTACATCAACAACTACGCCGACGTACGTACACGCTCTAAAACACAAGCTTATGGTCTATCTAGAATGTCAATGTCTTATCTGTCTATATGTTCATAGTAGTCTATTTTAATATTCTAGAATGAAATTCTATGATGTAGGCTAATGTAGAAATGTGAATTATAGGTCTAACTAATTACATAACAACCATGTCAAGATAACGACTAACTCCATGATCTAGACTATAAACCACGCCAACCACTCTAGATCTGATACGTTGTTGTCTGAATGTATTAGCAGCACCACTATCTTTTGTTAGCTGTATTTTCCCTGTTGTGTTTTCAAGACCACCTACTACGGAGCCATCAGCATCGGTACTCCCCCCCAGTCCTTCCAGGTGTTGTTTGACACTGGCTCTGCCAACCTGTGGGTTGACTCCGTACTCTGCAACACTCAGGCCTGCAGTGAGTGCAGCTGGATAGCTTCATGACAATGAATGCTACTGCTAGCTACTATCACAACTACTTACTATGTGTATTAATTAAATACTACTTCCTCAACAATAAATGTTATTAACTGTACTACTACTACTACTACTACTACTACTACTACTACTACTGTACATCTACTACTACTACTACTACAATCAGAGATACTTAAGTCACTTCTACACACTTCCCAGATAAATAAATTGTAGACACTATATTTCCTCTTTAAGTTGTTTGTGACCCTTCCACCTGCAGACACCCACACAAAGTTCAACCCCCAGCAGTCGTCCACCTACTCAGCCAATGGGAATACTTTCTACCTGCCTTACGGAACCGGCAGTCTCAGTGGAGTCTTCGGATATGACACCGTCAACGTGAGTCCCACCATAACAACCTTACATATACTAAAGTGCTTCTTCCACAGTTATTCTTAACTACAAGCAATAATAAGCCACAACAGATACAGCCACAACAGTACATTTACTTCCATTCTAACAAAACCAAAGTGTTCCATGATGCAGAGTGTGTGTGTTGTTTGTCACCATTGTCAACTGACGAGCCAGGTCAGACCTTTGTTGTGGCCCAGTTTGATGGTATCCTGGGCCTGTCCTACCCTTCCATCTCAGCCGGACAAGAGACTCCCGTCATGGAAAACATGATGTCACAGAACATTCTGCAGGCCGACCTGTTCGCTTTCTACATGACCATGTCAGTACTCCTACCATTACTTATAACACACTTATACCACTACCACTACCTACCACACATATACCACTACCACTACTTACCACACATATACCACTACCACTACTTACCGCACATATACCACTACCACTACTTACCACACATCTACCACAACAAATGTCGGATCTTAATTGGACCCCTTTCACCGCACGAGGAAAATAATCCTATAGCAGGAGGATTTGAATATCTAAAGAAGTATTTAGATTTGCCCTTTGACTCTTGGATCAATGTCTATTTTTGACGCATTAATTCCGCGTGGTTATAGGATTAAAACAGAAACAACTCAAAGGTTAACAGTTTAGGAATTTAATTAGTGCGGTTAAGGTTAGGGCTATGGTTTGGGGAAGGCTTAAAACAAAATAATAAAAAACGGCGAGCCTACAGTATGTATCATCAGTATTCATAATATTCTTAATGCTCACTAGAGCATTGTGATCTGCCATAGTTCAGTGGTCTAAGCAGCTCGCTCTGAACCTCATGAGTTTGCTCCCAGTTCTGGGCGACATAGTGACCAGCCTGAGACTACATTAGACAAGTTATTTGGATTTATGTTTTCAAGCAGTAAAACAAATAGTCTGATCATTTACACAAAGAAAATAATCTCAGCTCAACTAAATCGTCTTTGGATAGGCTCAAATGCATAAACATCTTCACAGCGTTACGAAATGAAACATTAAAGCTACACAATACAGGTTTTCAATCAACACCAAAGACCAGTACTAAATTGACTAAATATACTGTACATAGCCTAACTATAAAACGTTGACAAGCATCCTCACTGGAGGAAAGTTTATCGTTCTACAGTAGGCCTACATCTGTCAATCAGCTGATGGCCTAAATCAGCTCATCAACTAAGCCAGGGAAACAAACAGCAGCGGTTTTCACACCTTTCATTATGTAATAATGGATAGGCTAATGGGTAGCCTTCAGAATGTAGCCTATTGGAATATAATCAAATAACAAGGGACCTATTGCAGTCATCGATGGCATTAAGATTATCGGCAGCTGATGTCTCAGTAAAATATCGATACGCTCTAAATTCACCCGCACAGCTGATCTCAATAGCAACCAAAGTCTTTCAAGATATGTTCACCCTCTGGTTGGTATTGTAATCAGAACAACTTAGAGTTATTTTTTAACAGACTAAAGGTGATTCAGCTATTTGACAAGCATTTCATACAATATAAATAAAGTATCTAATGTGGGAATCTACCCGACACTAATGTTGGTGTAGCCTATAGTTAATATTTTATTGGTTTCCTATTTATGTTATCCAAAAGTGTCTGATATGGTCATTTCTTATCAAGATCGGGGGTAAAATATCCCTGGACTGTCAATATTTAAAATGTGTAAATAAATCTAGTAAATTGGCGGGGATTGAGTTATTTGTGCCAGAAGGTTGAGGGCCGGAATCGAACCCACGCCAACATGGTAGGCCTATACAGTGGGGAGAACAAGTATTTGATACACTGCCGATTTTGCAGGTTTTCCTACTTACAAAGCATGTAGAGGTCTGTAATTTTTATCATAGGTATACTTCAACTGTGAGAGACGGAATCTAAAACAAAAATCCAGAAAATCACATTGTATGATTTTTAAGAAATTAATTTGCATTTTATTGCATGACATAAGTATTTGATCACCTACCAACCAGTAAGAATTCCGGCTCTCACAGACCTGTAGGTTTTTCTATAAGAAGCCCTCCTGTTCTCCACTCATTACCTGTATTAACTGCACCTGTTTGAACTCGTTACCTGTATAAAAGACACCTGTCCACATACTCAATCAAACTGACTCCAACCTCTCCACAATGGCCAAGACCAGAGAGATGTTTAAGGACATCAGGGATAAAATTGTAGACCTGCACAAGGCTGGGATGGGCTACAGGACAATAGGCAAGCAGCTTGGTGAGAAGGCAACAACTGTTGGCGCAATTATTAGAAAATGGAAGAAATTCAAGATGACGGTCAATCACCCTCGGTCTGGGGCTCCATGCAAGATCTCACCTCGTGGGGCATCAATGATCATGAGGAAGGTGAGGGATCAGCCCAGAACTACACGGCAGGACCTGGTCAATAACCTGAAGAGAGCTGGGACCACAGTCTCAATAAAAACCATTAGTAACACACTACGCCCGCAAGGTCCCCTGCTCAAGCCAGCACATGTCCAGGCCCGTCTGAATGATCCAGAGGAGGAATGAGAGAAGGTCATGTGGTCTGATGAGACAAAAATTGAGCTTTTTGGTCTAAACTCCACTTGCCGTGTTTGGAGGAAGAAGAAGGATGAGTACAACCCCAAGAACACCATCCCAACCGTGAAGCATGGAGGTGGAAACATCATTCTTTGGGGATGCTTTTCTGCAAAGGGAACAGGACGACTGCACCGTATTGAGGGGAGGATGGATGGGGCCATGTATCGCGAGATCTTGGCCAACAACCTCCTTCCCTCAGTAAGAGCATTGAAGATGGGTCGTGGCTGGGTCTTCCAGCTTGACAACGACCCAAAACACACAGCCAGGGCAACTAAGGAGTGGCTCCGTAAGAAGCATCTCAAGGTCCTGGAGTGGCCTAGCCAGTCTCCAGACCTGAACCCAATAGAAAATCTTTGTAGGGAGTTGAAAGTCTGTATTGCCCAGCGACAGCCCCGAAACCTGAAGGATCTGGAGAAGGTCTGTATGGAGGAGTGGGCCAAAATCCATGCTGCAGTGTGTGCAAACCTGGTCAAGACCTACAGGAAACGTATGATCTCTGTAATTGCAAACAAAGGTTTCTGTACCAAATATTAAGTTCTGTTTTTCTGATGTATCAAATACTTATGTCATGCAATAAAATGCAAATGAATTACTTAAAAATCATACAATGTGATTTTCTGGTTTTTTGTTTTAGATTCCGTCTCTCACAGTTGAAGTGTACCTATGATTAAAATTACAGACCTCTACATGCTTTGTAAGTAGGAAAACCTGCAAAATCGGCAGTGTATCAAATACTTGTTCTCCCCACTGTATGTGCGCGCTGCAGGCATCAGCCCCACCCCACCCCACCACACCCCACCCAATGATTGAACTACATTTTGAACTTAGGATACACTTGAAACTTGATTGTCATTGCCTGGTGGAGACCAATATCTATCTTGTGTTATTAAGCTATATAAAACGATGGTTGTTGATGTGTATGACTGAGTTTCAGATAAAAAAATTACACTTGAATGTTGCAGTAATATGACCTTGGCCTAACGTTTCAGCGAACGAGAGAGACATTTATTTTGATAGCAAGTCCTGATCCCAATGACTCAACTGCCCCCGCATGGAGAGAAAGACAACTGCTCTTTTTCAGGGATTCACAAGGCTCATTTCTACTTCCTGATGCAGAAGGAAAATCCTCAGTGACAAAAGAGTGATCAAGTTAAGAACTGACATCTGTACCACTACTTACTTACCAAACATATACTACCACTGGTACTCAATATAAAATACACACAGACGTCACAGAACCTTCTGCAGGCCAATGTGTTCGCTTTTTAGATGACCAGGTAATATACTTTAATGTACTTACTTAATTATGTACATAATCACTGTCATACTCATTATTCCTGCTCCAGAAACAATATCACAGATACAAGGCACAAGATTTTTGAGGAGAAAAGTGTATTCTGTGAAGAGTGAACCACCTTCTTGCCAACCGCCTTCTTTCTTTGTAAAACTTTCTGATGACTTGAAACTCCTTTTCTGAGCAGGGATGCCCAGCAGGTCAGTGAGCTAACGTTTGGAGGAGTGGACACCACCAAGTACCAGGGTCAGATCTACTGGACCCCCGTCACCTCCCAGACATACTAGCAAATCGGCATCCAAGGGTCAGGATCAACCACACCAACCAAACATACTTAACCAGACACTGACATCAGAACCACTAAGAACCGGGAAAAGCTGGGGTGAAAAACTCGTTTTGGAACTTTTCAAAAAATGTCTAAGGCCGCTGTGAATGCTAGTATGTCTGTCTTTCTGTCTGTCTAACACTAACCCTTGTATATCTCCAGGTTCCAGATCAACGGTCAGGAGACAGGGTGGTGTGGGCAGGGCTGCCAGGCCATCGTGGATACAGGCACCTCCATGCTGACTGCACCCGGACAGGTCATGGGAACTCTGATGCAGTCCATTGGAGCCCAGCAGGACCAATACGGACAGGTAGCAGGAAGCCACTATAAACCACTACAGACCAGTACTAACTGACACCATAAACCAGTGTAATCCAGAAGGGACAGTTTGGGGAAACCATTACAGAGTAAACCAGTACAGGGAGGTTTTGTCTCACTCATGTCTGTGAATTGTTTGTTGTTGTAGTACACAGTGAACTGTAACCAGATCAACAGCCTGCCTACTCTCACCTTCACCATCAATGGAGTCAACTTCCCCCTGCCACCATCTGCATACATCCAGCAGGTGAGTGTGTGTGTGTGTGTGTTTGTGTGTGTGTGTGTGTGTGTGTTACCCTCTAAGACTGACGTTAGGATAATGAAGGCCATTTTAGATGGCTCAAGCTGGTCCATAAGCCTTGTGTGTGTGCCTCAGCCATGTGTCAGAAGTGCATGTAAATGTGTTTGTGGTGTGTGCATGCATGCGCGTTTGTCTGCGTGTGTGTGTGTATTGCACTCAACATGCGTGTTCTCCTCTCTCCAGAGCAACCAGGTCTGCTCCGTGGGGATCACCCCCACCTACCTGCCATCCCAGAACGGACAGCCCCTGTGGATTTTGGGAGATGTATTCCTCATGGAGTACTACTCCGTCTACGACCGCACAAGCAACCAAGTGGGCTTTGCCACCGCAGTCTAAACCTGACCAACATGACCATGACCGTAAACCAACACAGGCTCCGACCGTTCTTAGAACTCTACCACTCCAAACCTCACACAGAATCTATTCCACCTCTGGCCATTCTAGAACATCAATCACCAAAGGCAACTATGCTGAATCACCCATAGCAATTACTCTGGACATTTTAGAACACATATTACCGATGGCAACCACTCTTGTCATTATAATATGCCTGTTACCCATGGAAACCACTGTGGGTCAGTTTGGCTTTGGTCCAGAGGGGTTAAAGCAAGCATCGACATCATTGGGTTAAAGCTGTGGTCTTTGTTGATGACATCTGCTAATATATTCAGTTCAGCTGTAAGGTTGTTTCCTTTCTACTCTGGCATTGCAATGACAACCTCCTAGTTCTCAGACAACATCGGATGTGAATACAGGTTCAGACATGTTGCTGATTGCATCATGATTCTGAGTTGCAATTCTGAGTTGAGTGAAAAAGAGAATGAGCTACAGAAACACAGTGAAATATGAAAATATGATTTTTGACACTTAAATGCATTTTATCTCAAAACTGGATGTATTTGAAGTTTCTTTAGTTTCCATTTAGACTGAATAAACGATTGACGTAACAATAATCCTATTTGTTTCGAATCCCTGCATCTGACATTTCAAGCTCATGATGCCTGTAAGACTGAAATCACACCTCACATTCACCAATGACTGTTGCCAGAAACTGCATCAAAAAACAACAAGAGCATCTTACCCAATTGGAGCCTGTAAATATATCCAACCATCTACACATCTTACCTATAGAAATATGTATTACATAATGGCAGTAATAGCTAAATATCACTGAGTCAAATATGCCATCTGTTAAATGGCATTAAGTCCTATGAATCCTCAGGACAGCAACAGCAGTGTATACTGTGAAAGGGACTTTAATGAAAGCTTCAACATTTCACGTCTCCTAACAAGCTCTCATTATCTCTGTAACATGGTCAGGGGCTGGTGTGTGTGTGTGGGTGCGTGTGCGTCCATGTGTGTGTTTCTGTTTGTTTCTACACACGCACACACACACACACACACATACCATCATAAACTGGCTTAAACTGATTATGTCAGGAGCAGAGATAGCATAGGCACACACACACGTTTGTGACACACACACACACACACACACACACACGTTTGTGATTTCAACCCCAGTCCTCATGTACCTGACCCCTCCACCCTCCACCCTTCAAAGGGGAGCATCTCTCTGACTCATGCCCACACAGAGTGCTCAGACCCTGGGGAATCCTGCTCTGAGATATGGCCTGCCACTGTCTATCTGGGTCTGTGCCTCATTCACCAGACACACAAGACACAAGAACTCACACACCCTTCATATTTTGCTTTGCTCTCTAAGCAGTTCAGCCACTATTCTCTATTTTAACAGGTCCCCAGTTTACAGACACAATAGTGCTTAAAAGAGTTCATCATCCTGTTTTCTTAGTTTCTATAAAACATCTGTATATCTGTGGTCCATTAGTTCCAACAGAGGTTCAGCTCTCTACTCCATTAGTAAGAAACTGTGTGAGGCTCAGAGGGAAATGCTGCATTGCAGGTTTTCTAGTGAGGACAAGACAGTCCAGACAGGGCCTAGTACAGATGTATACAGACCACTGTGAAGCAGGGTAAGTCAGAAAATACATCAGAGGTAGAAATGTAAAGCTAGATCAATGTCTAAATCAGAATTGTATACTTTATCAAAGCTCAATCAATGACAAAATCAGTGCTAAATCAAAAATCATGACTAGTTCACACACACATACACACACACACACACACACACACACACACACACACACACAGCTCTTGACCAGCAGCAGCCTGCAGGGTGATACAGGGACAGAATTTGGTATGTCATCAAATATGAAGTGCTTTCTGAAAATAAACTATTCAGGCCTTTGTGATCTCTCTTTACTGTAATAAAAAAGCACTTACAGGACTGTTGTTTCTGTATCAGTATGTGTAGAAACTATCTCCAATTATGTTAACATTTGAAATGACAACTCTGAAAATATCTGGAGAACTATTTGCATGCACATTGTTATTCATGACCTTGGAGAGGTGTTCATATCTCAGTGTATGTTGCTTTATATCTGTATTACTGAATAACACTAAGTGCGTATAATGCAGTAGCTAGGGGATTTCCAATATACATATACATCCAAAATACACAGTTGTGGAAAAAGTACTAAATTGACATACTGATGCAGTCCATTGGAGCCCAGCAGGACCAATACGGACAGGTAGCAGGAAGCCACTATAAACCACTACAGACCAGTACTAACTGACACCATAAACCAGTGTAATCCAGAAGGGACAGTTTGGGGAAACCATTACAGAGTAAACCAGTACAGGGAGGTTTTGTCTCACTCATGTCTGTGAATTGTTTGTTGTTGTAGTACACAGTGAACTGTAACCAGATCAACAGCCTGCCTACTCTCACCTTCACCATCAATGGAGTCAACTTCCCCCTGCCACCATCTGCATACATCCAGCAGGTGAGTGTGTGTGTGTGTGTGTTTGTGTGTGTGTGTGTGTGTGTGTTACCCTCTAAGACTGACGTTAGGATAATGAAGGCCATTTTAGATGGCTCAAGCTGGTCCATAAGCCTTGTGTGTGTGCCTCAGCCATGTGTCAGAAGTGCATGTAAATGTGTTTGTGGTGTGTGCATGCATGCGCGTTTGTCTGCGTGTGTGTGTGTATTGCACTCAACATGCGTGTTCTCCTCTCTCCAGAGCAACCAGGTCTGCTCCGTGGGGATCACCCCCACCTACCTGCCATCCCAGAACGGACAGCCCCTGTGGATTTTGGGAGATGTATTCCTCATGGAGTACTACTCCGTCTACGACCGCACAAGCAACCAAGTGGGCTTTGAGACCGCAGTCTAAACCTGACCAACATGACCATGACCGTAAACCAACACAGGCTCCGACCGTTCTTAGAACTCTACCACTCCAAACCTCACACAGAATCTATTCCACCTCTGGCCATTCTAGAACATCAATCACCAAAGGCAACTATGCTGAATCACCCATAGCAATTACTCTGGACATTTTAGAACACATATTACCGATGGCAACCACTCTTGTCATTATAATATGCCTGTTACCCATGGAAACCACTGTGGGTCAGTTTGGCTTTGGTCCAGAGGGGTTAAAGCAAGCATCGACATCATTGGGTTAAAGCTGTGGTCTTTGTTGATGACATCTGCTAATATATTCAGTTCAGCTGTAAGGTTGTTTCCTTTCTACTCTGGCATTGCAATGACAACCTCCTAGTTCTCAGACAACATCGGATGTGAATACAGGTTCAGACATGTTGCTGATTGCATCATGATTCTGAGTTGCAATTCTGAGTTGAGTGAAAAAGAGAATGAGCTACAGAAACACAGTGAAATATGAAAATATGATTTTTGACACTTAAATGCATTTTATCTCAAAACTGGATGTATTTGAAGTTTCTTTAGTTTCCATTTAGACTGAATAAACGATTGACGTAACAATAATCCTATTTGTTTCGAATCCCTGCATCTGACATTTCAAGCTCATGATGCCTGTAAGACTGAAATCACACCTCACATTCACCAATGACTGTTGCCAGAAACTGCATCAAAAAACAACAAGAGCATCTTACCCAATTGGAGCCTGTAAATATATCCAACCATCTACACATCTTACCTATAGAAATATGTATTACATAATGGCAGTAATAGCTAAATATCACTGAGTCAAATATGCCATCTGTTAAATGGCATTAAGTCCTATGAATCCTCAGGACAGCAACAGCAGTGTATACTGTGAAAGGGACTTTAATGAAAGCTTCAACATTTCACGTCTCCTAACAAGCTCTCATTATCTCTGTAACATGGTCAGGGGCTGGTGTGTGTGTGTGGGTGCGTGTGCGTCCATGTGTGTGTTTCTGTTTGTTTCTACACACGCACACACACACACACACACATACCATCATAAACTGGCTTAAGCTGATTATGTCAGGAGCAGAGATAGCATAGGCACACACACACGTTTGTGACACACACACACACACACACACACACACACACACACACACACGTTTGTGATTTCAACCCCAGTCCTCATGTACCTGACCCCTCCACCCTCCACCCTTCAAAGGGGAGCATCTCTCTGACTCATGCCCACACAGAGTGCTCAGACCCTGGGGAATCCTGCTCTGAGATATGGCCTGCCACTGTCTATCTGGGTCTGTGCCTCATTCACCAGACACACAAGACACAAGAACTCACACACCCTTCATATTTTGCTTTGCTCTCTAAGCAGTTCAGCCACTATTCTCTATTTTAACAGGTCCCCAGTTTACAGACACAATAGTGCTTAAAAGAGTTCATCATCCTGTTTTCTTAGTTTCTATAAAACATCTGTATATCTGTGGTCCATTAGTTCCAACAGAGGTTCAGCTCTCTACTCCATTAGTAAGAAACTGTGTGAGGCTCAGAGGGAAATGCTGCATTGCAGGTTTTCTAGTGAGGACAAGACAGTCCAGACAGGGCCTAGTACAGATGTATACAGACCACTGTGAAGCAGGGTAAGTCAGAAAATACATCAGAGGTAGAAATGTAAAGCTAGATCAATGTCTAAATCAGAATTGTATACTTTATCAAAGCTCAATCAATGACAAAATCAGTGCTAAATCAAAAATCATGACTAGTTCACACACACATACACACACACACACACACACACACACACACACACACACACACAGCTCTTGACCAGCAGCAGCCTGCAGGGTGATACAGGGACAGAATTTGGTATGTCATCAAATATGAAGTGCTTTCTGAAAATAAACTATTCAGGCCTTTGTGATCTCTCTTTACTGTAATAAAAAAGCACTTACAGGACTGTTGTTTCTGTATCAGTATGTGTAGAAACTATCTCCAATTATGTTAACATTTGAAATGACAACTCTGAAAATATCTGGAGAACTATTTGCATGCACATTGTTATTCATGACCTTGGAGAGGTGTTCATATCTCAGTGTATGTTGCTTTATATCTGTATTACTGAATAACACTAAGTGCGTATAATGCAGTAGCTAGGGGATTTCCAATATACATATACATCCAAAATACACAGTTGTGGAAAAAGTACTAAATTGTCATACTTGAGTAAAAGTAAAGATACCTTAATAGAAAATGATTCAAGTAAAAGTGAAAGTCACCCAGTAAAATACTACTTCATTACAAAATCTAAAAGTATTTGGTTTTAAATATACTTAAGTATCAAAAGTAAATGTAGTTGCTAAAATATACTTAAATATCAAAAGTGTTTTTTAATTTACGGATAGCCAGGGATGCATTCCAACCCCCAGGCATCATTTACAAATGAAGCATTTAGTGAGTCGGTCAAATCAGAGGCAGTAGGGATGACATTTACATTTTAACAGACGCTCTTATCCAGAGCGACTTACAGTTAGTGAGTGTATACATTTTCATCCTGGCCCTCCATGGGAATCGAACCCACAACCCTGGCGTTGCAAACGCCATGCTCTACCAACTGAGCTTCACGGATGTTCGCTTGAAGTGTGTAAATTGGACCATTTTCCTTTCCTGCTAAGTATTCAAAATGTAACAATTACTTTTGGGTGTCAGGGAAAATGTATGGAGTAAAAAGTAAATGTTCTTTAGGAATGTAATGAAGTAAAAGTAAAAGTTGTCAAAAATATAAATAGTCAAGTAAAGTACAGATACCTCAAAAAACAACTTAAGTAGTAATTTAAAGTGTTTTTACATAAGTACTTTACACCACTGCAAATACATTTACTTTTAATTTAAAGAGTGTGTAAACTCTTTATCTACTCTCACTGTTATCTTTCTCTCTCCATCTCTCTCTCTCTACCTCTCATCTTTAACACACCAAAATGTTGCTACATCTTTTCAAATGTTTATTTAGTTGATGGCTCCTGAATTGTAGTAAAATTGTGGTGTGATGTCTGCCTGAAAGTCCCCTCTAAAGTGTAAATAAAACTTACAGTATACAGTATTTCACCCATTTTGACTAAACATCAGATCATATCGTATTTCTACATACCATTAGTAATAACAGTGTGGACTCTATTTTTGGCTGTTGTTAAGGCGACGGTAGTGTTAAACACACGTTCTTGGGCAATATCGACTTGTAAAAGCCAGCGCTTTGCTATTTTCCAACCCTGGTGCCTGTAGTTTACCTGTCTTATATCAGCTTGCTTGTGCTGAGGTGGGAGGGTTGGAAATATTGTAGGTGTGTCTTTAAAAACGTGTGCCAAAGTGCCAATTTCAAGCATTGCTCCTGGTGATATTTAATACTCACTGGTTGATGGTCTTAGTGGTAACCCAATTGGTTATGGCATCGATTTGGATGGCCAGTGGAGGCGCACAGTAGCCTTGTAGACTGTGATCTGTCAGAGTTACTCCTCAAGAATTCAATTTGGCAAAAAGCTCGGCACACGCATACTCAGGCTGACTGGCTCTAGTTCAGGCAAATGAGAAATAAGTGCACTCAGGCTACACGGAAGGCCAAAGTTAGTTACTTTAGGGAACAGTTCTCTCTGTGGGTCTAACCCCAAGAAGTTCTGGAAAACGGTTAAAGACCTGGAGAATAAACCCTCCTCCTCACAGCTGCCCATGTCCCTTAATGTTGATGATGTGGTTGTTACTGACAAGCTGCACATAGCTGAGCTCTTTAATCACCACTTCATTAAGTCAGGATTCCTATTTGACCCAACCATGCCTCATTGCCTGTCCAACATTTCCTCATCTCCCACCCCTTCTAATGCGACTAGCCCCGATGCTCCTCCCTCTTTTCACCCTACCCCGCTACAAAGTTTCTCCCACCAGGCAGTCACCGAGTCTGAGGTGCTAAAGGAGCTCCTTAAACTTGACCCCCAAAAAACATGGGTCAGATGGTTTAGATCCTTGTCTTCTTTAAGGTTGCAGCCCCTATCATCGCTGAGGCTATCTCTGAGCTTTTTAACCTGTCTCTCCTCTCTGGGGAGGTTCCCATTGCTTGGAAGGCATTCACAGTGTGTCCTTTATTAAAGGGGGAGATCAAGCTGATCCTAACTGTTATAGACCAATTTCTATTTTGACCTGTTTATCAAACATGTTGGAAAAACTTGTCAATATTCAACTGACTGGCTTTCTTGATGTCTATAGTATTCTCTCTGGTATGCAATCTGGTTTCCGCTCAGGTTATGGACGTGTCACTGCAACCTTAAAGGTCCTTAATGATGTCACCATTGCCCTTGATTGTAAGCAATGTTGTGCTGCTATTTTTATTGACTTGGCCAAAGCTTTTGATACGGTAGACCATTCCATTCTTGTGGGCCACCTACAGAGTATTGGTGTCTCTGATGGGGTGTTTGGCCTGGTTTGCTAACTACCTCTCTCAAAGAGTGCAGTGTATAAATTCAGAACATCTGCTGTCTCAGCCACTGCCTGTCACCAAGGGAGTACCCCAAGGCTCGATATTAGGCCCCACGCTCTTCTCAATTTACATCAACAACATAGCTCAGGCAGTAGGACGCTCTCTCATCCATTTATATGCAGATGATACAGTCTTATACTCAGCTGGCCCCTCCCCGGATGTTGTGTTAAATGCTCTACAACAAAGCTTTCTTGGTGTCCAACAAGCTTCTCTGCCCTTAACCTTGTTCTGAACACCTCCAAAAGAAAGGTCATGTCGTTTGGTAAGAAGAATGCCCCTATACCCACCGGTGTGATTACTACCTCTCAGGGTTTAGAGCTTAAAGGTAGTCACTTCATACAAGTACTTGGGAGTATGGCTAGACGGTACACTGTCCTTCTCTCAGCACATATCAAAGCTGCTGGCTAAGGTTAAATCTACACTTGGTTTCCTGTATCGTAATCGCTCCTCTTTCACCCCAGCTGCCAAACTAACCCTGATTCAGATGACCATCCTACCCATGCTAGATTACGGAGACGTAATTTATAGATCGGCAGATAAGGGTGCTCTCGAGCGGCTAGATGTTCTTTACCATTCGGCCATCAGATTTGCCAACAATGCTCCTTATAGGACACATCACTGCACTCTATACTCCTCTGTAAACTTGTCATCTCTGTAAACCCGTCGCAAGACCCATTGGTTGATGCTTATTTTTAAAACCCTCTTAGGCCTCACTCTCCTCTATCTGAGATACCTACTGCAGCCCTCATCCACATACAACACCCCTTCTGCCAGTCACATTCTGTTAAAGGTCCCCAAAGCACACACATACCTGGGTCACTCCTCTTTTCAGTTCGCTGCAGCTAGCGACTGGAACAAGCTGCAAAAAACACTAAGTGGACAGTTTTATCTGCATCTCTTCATTCAAAGACTCAATCATGGACACTCTTACTGACAGTTGTGGCTGCTTCGCGTGATGTGTTGTTGTCTCTACCTTCTTGCTGTTGTGCTGTTGTCTGTGCCCGATAATGTTTGTACCATGTTTTGTGTTGCTACCATGTTGTTGTCATGTGGTGTTGCTGCCATGCTATGTTGTTGTCTTAGGTCTCTCTTTATGTACTGTTGTGGTGTCTCTTTTGTCGTGATGTGTGTTTTGACCTATATTTTATTTTTTTATCCGAGCCCCCGTCCCCACAGGAGGCCTTTTGCCTTTTGGTAGGCCGTCATTGTAAATAAGAATTTGATCTTAACTGACTTGCCTAGTTAACTGTTTTATTTTTTTTTACAAAAAAGCCTAATCAGTAGCCTATAACCAATGTTTCATTAAATATATAATGAGCAGCAAAACGGTCAACAGACATTCCTGTTATTTCTTCATATAAATGGAGATGGTAGACTAATATTATTATAGCTTAACGTTTGGGCATTGTCCAATTGTTCATGGCTTGAATATGCAGTTCATTTTTGAAATGCGAATGCCAGGTGTGTAGACAAATATTTCCATGTTGAAGCCAATAACAAAAACTAGATTGGCTACATGTTTGTTATAAGTAGAACTATTGTAGGGTTACTGTATACTATTTTAAAAACTATCTTCAATGAATAGGAAAAACATCCATGCCTCCAGCCGAAGAGCCCTTAGGCCTACATGTGCACACATTGCCTTATGATCATGGAACAAGAGATTCGATTTATGATATTGTGTTTTGACCCAATCTTATTTGGAAATATTGTTGTTAAAAAAAACTGATGGATTGTTTTTCGTTTAATTTCATAAAAAACCAAACTTATTAGAAAGATTCACATCCATGAGTTCACGTTGAGAACGTACATGGCTCGAATACAATGGAATGTCTTCTGCTATTTCTGGAGAAGTGCAAATATGATGTAAAATGAATTCTCTGAAAATGTACAGTTACCCGACACTTTGTATGAAAGGAAACTAATGTTGGTGTAGCCTACTGTTATTATTTTATTTGTTTCCTGTTTATGTAATCCAAAAGTGTCTGGTATGGTCATTTCTTATCAAGATCTGGGGTACAATATCCTAGACTGTCCATATTTGAAATGTGTAACTAAACCAACTCAATCGGGGGGACTGAGTTACTTGTGCCAGAAGGGTGTGGGCTGGAATCACAACCACGCCAACAAGGTAGGCATATCTATGTGTGCTGAAGGCAGCGGCCCTAACCGCTAGAACACCCCAGGCCAGAATTAAACAAAATGTTGACAGTTTATTCGTAACCTTAAGATACACTTGAAACTTGTACGTCGTAGCCTAGAGGAGACCAATATCGACCTTGTGTTATTAAGCTACAGTTGAAGTCGGATGTTTACATACACCTTAGCCAAATACAATGAAACTAATTTTTTCACAATTCCTGGCATTTAATCCTAGTATAAATTCCCTGTTTTAGGTCAGTTAGGATCACCACTTTATTTTAAGAATGTGAAATGTCAAAATAATAGTAGAGAGAATCATTTATTTGAGCTTTTATTTCTTTCAACACATTCCCAGTGGGTCAAAAGTTTACATACACTCAATTAGTATTTGGTAGCATTGCCTTTAAATTGTTTAACTTCGGTCAAATGTTTCGGGTAGCCTTCCACAAGCTTCCCACAATAAGTTGGGTGAATTTTGGCCTATTCCTCCTGACAGAGGTTATGTAACTGAGTCAGGTTTGTAGGCCTCCTTGCTTGCACGCGCTTTTTCAGTTCTGCCCACACATTTTCTATAGAATTGAGGTCTGGGCTTTGTGATGGCCACTCCAATACCTTGACTTTGTTGTCCTTAAGCCATTTTGCCACAACTTTGGAAGTATGCTTGGGGTCATTGTCCATTTGGAAGACCCATTTGCAACCAAGCTTTAACTTCATGACAGATGTCTTGAGATGTTGCATCAATATATCCACATCATTTTCCTTCCTCATGATGCCATTTATTTTGTGAAGTGCACCAGTCACTTCTGCAGCAAAGCACCCCCACAGCATGATGCTGCCACCACCGTGCTTAACGGTTGGATGGTGTTCTTCGGCTTGCAAGCAACCCCCTTTTTCCTCCAAACATAACGATGGTCATTATGGCCAAACAGTTATATTTTTGTTTCATCAGACCAGAGGACATTTCTCCAAAAAGTACGACCTTTGCCCCTATGTGCAGTTGCAAACCGTAGTCTGGCTTTTTTATGGCGGTTTTGGAGCAGTGGCTTCTTCCTTGCTGAGCGGCCTTTCAGGTTTTGTCGATATAGGACTCGTTTTACTGTGGATATAGATACTTTTGTACCTGTTTCCTCCAGCATCTTCACAAGGTCCTTTGCTGTTGTTCTGAGATTGATTTGCACTTTTCACACCAAAGTACGTTCATCTCTAGGAGACAGAACGCATCTCCTTCCTGAGCGGTATGATGGCTGCGTGGTCCCATGGTGTTTATACTTGCATACAATTGTTTGTACAGATGAACGTGATACTTTCAGGCATTTGGAAATTGCTCCCAAGGATGAGCCAGACTTGTGGAGGTCTACCATTTTTTTTTAAAAGTTTGTGGCTGATTTCTTTTGATTTTCCCATGATGTCAAGCAAAGAAGCACTGAGTTTGAAGGTAGGCCTTGAAATACATCCACAGGTACACCTCCAATTGACTCAAATGATGTCAATTAACCTATCAGAAGCTTCTAAAGCCATGACATCATTTTCTGGAATTTTCTAAGCTGTTTAACGGCACAGTCAACTTAGTGTATATAAACTTCTGACCCACTGGAATTGTGATACAGGGAATTCTAAGTGAAATAATCTGTCTGTAAACAATTGTTGGAAAAATTTGAGTAGATGTCCTAACCGACTTGCCAAAACTATAGTTTGTTAACAAGAAATTTGTGGAGTGGTTGAAAAACCAGTTTTAATGACTCCAACCTAAGTTTACTTCCGACTTCAACTGTATATAAAACTACGGTTGTTGACATTTATGGCTGCATTTTAGATATATTTTTTGTACATTTGAATGTTGCATTAATAGGACCTAGGCCTAGCGTTTGAGGGAGTTAGAGAGAAAAATATTTTCATAGCAGGCCTGATCAAAATGAGTCAACTGCCCCCGCATGGAGAGAATGATAACTGCTAATTTTCAGGGACTTACGAGGCTCATTTGAATTTCTTGACAAAAGAGTGATCAAGTTAAGATCCGACATCTGCATGTTTAACAATGTATTTCCATATTGAAGCAATGCAATTAGAACAATGTGGACTGCAAACATGTTCAACATACACTACAATCCAAAATCATGGGCATTAATATGGAATTGGTCCCCCCTTTGCTGCTATAACAGCCTTGACTCTTCTGGGAAGGCTTTCTACGAGATGTTGGAAAGTTGCTGCGGGGACTTGCTTCCATTCAGCCTTAAGAGCATTAGTGAGGTTGGGCACTGATGTTGGGCGATTAGGCCTGGCTCGCAGTCGGCGTTCCAATTCATCCCAAAAGTGTTCGACGTGGTTGAGGTCATGGCTCTGAGCAGGCCAGTCAAGTTCATCCAAAACGACCTCGACAAACCATTTCTGTATGGAACTCGCTTTGTGCACAGTGGCATTGTCATGCTGAAACAGGAAAGGGCCTTCCCCAAACTGTTGCCACAAAGTTGGAAGCACAGAATCATCTAGAATGTCATTGTATGCCAAAGCGTTAAGATGTCCCTAAGGGGTCTAGCCTGAACCATGAAAGACATCCCCAAACCATTATTCCTCCTCCACCAAACTTTACAGTTGATCTGGTTATCTCCCTTATAAAGGTTCAGTAAACTAACAGAATTGTTTGGTTAGCGCTGCTATCGGTACAGGGGAGTAGGGGCTGGCCTGCACACTGAATAGAGAATGTGGAGTCAGGGGAAAAAGGAGCTGATAGTCACCTCCTTAAGTCTGATAATGAATGTGTACAGACACACGCGTGCCCATATCACACCCGCTTGCTTTCATATGAGCACATATGTGTGTTTGGTATAGTATATAAGAACAGTCCTGACCCAAGCTAAGGTGTATTCACCAGTGGTTGTGATTTCAGGAGTGACCATGAAGAGTCTCGTTATTGTGCTGGTATGTGCTGTGCTCGCTGAGGGACTCCACAGGTAAGTGCTCCAACCACAAATCTCTCTTTCTCTCTCACTTCAAATAATATAGTCTCTCACGTTCTTTCCTTTTCACATTTTCACTCCATCCAGTTGCCCCTTTTCCCTAAATCCTCCTTAAAACACTTTTCTTTTCTCATCTCTCATAGTCACTGATAACTCCTTGTCGCTCTCTCTCCCCCTGTTTGCATTTACAAAGTTCACCTTCATATTACAATCTGAGTGTATCTGTGTGCTTGTTACCCTAGGATCCCTCTGGTGAAGCATAAGTCAATCCGTGAGAGAATGATGGAGAAGGGAGAACACCTGCCCTACCAAGACCCCGCTCTCAAATACTTTCCTGATGAGTTCGCTGGCTCCACCACCATGTACATCAACAACTACGCCGACGTACGTACATGCTCTAAAACACAATCTTATGGTCTATCTAGAATGTCAATGTCTTATCTGTCTATATCCATAGTAGTCTATTTTCATATTCTAGAATGAAATTCTATGATGTAGGCTAATGTAGAAAATGTGAATTCTAGGTCTAACTAACTAGATAACAACCATGTCAAGATAACGACTAACTCCATGATCTAGACTCTAAACCACGCCAACCACTCTAGATCTGATGCGTTGTTGTCTGAATGTATTAGCAGCATCTCTATCTTTGTCAACTGTATTTTCCCTGTTGTGTTTTCCAGACCACCTACTACGGAGCCATCAGCATCGGTACTCCCCCCCAGTCCTTCCAGGTGTTGTTTGACACTGGCTCTGCCAACCTGTGGGTTGACTCCGTACTCTGCAACACTCAGGCCTGCAGCGAGTACAGCTGGATAGCTTCATGACAATGAATGCCACTTCTAGCTACGTTTACAACTACCTAAAATGTGTATCAATTAACTACTACTTCCTCAACAATAAATGTTACTAACTGTACTACTACTACTACTACTACTACTACTACTACTACAGTACTTCTACTACTACTACTACTACTATCAGAGAAATTTAAGTCCATTATCACTTCTACACACTTCCCAGATAAATAATTAGAAGACAGTATATTTCCTCTTTAAGTTGATTGTGACCCTTCCTCCTGCAGACACCCACACGAAATTCAACCCCCAGCAGTCGTCCACCTACTCAGCCAATGGGAATACTTTCTACCTACCCTACGGAGCTGGCAGTCTCAGTGGAGTCTTCGGATATGACACCGTCAACGTGAGTCCCAGCATAACAACCTTACATATACTAAAGTACTTCTTCCACAGTTATTCTTAACTACAAGCAATAATAAGCCACAACAGATACAGCCACAACAGTACAATTACTTCCATTCTAACAAAACCAAAGTGTTCCATGATGCAGAGTGTGTGTGTTGTTTGTCACCTCTTTAGGTTGGTGGGATTGTCATCACCAACCAGGAGATTGGTCTGAGCACTGACGAGCCAGGTCAGAACTTTGTTGTGGCCCAGTTTGATGGTATCCTGGGCCTGTCCTACCCTTCCATCTCAGCCGGACAAGAAACTCCCGTCATGGACAACATGATGTCACAGAACCTTCTGCAGGCCGACCAGTTCGCTTTCTACATGACCAGGTCAGTACTCCTACCATTACTTATAACACACATATACCACTACCACTACTTACCACACATATACCACTACCACTACTTACCACACATATACCACTACCACTACTTACCGCACATATACCACTACCACTACTTACCACACATATACCACTACCACTACTTACCACACATATACCACTACCACTACTTACCACACATATACCACTACCACTACTTACCACACATATACCACTACCACTACTTACCACACATATACCACTACCACTACTTACCACACATATACCACTACCACTACTTACCACACATATACCACTACCACTACTTACCACACATATACCACTACCACTACCTACCACACATATACCACTACCACTACTTACCACACATATACCACTACAGATGTCGGATCTAAATTGGACCCCTTTTGTCGCAGGAGGAAAATAATCCTGCAGGAAAATAATCCTGCAGCAGGAGGATTTGAATATCTAAATAATTATTTAGAATGAGCTGTTTTAGATCAATTGTTTTATTATATGTTGAAGGCAAGCAATTGGCAGAATAAATTATTGTTTTCCTCAATTCCTGTGTGGTCCAGCGGTCACAGCCACTGACTCCGGCATGTATATGTCAGAGTCGGCATGGGTTTAAATTCTGCCCTTTGACTCATGGATCAATGTCTATTTTTGACGCATTCATAACGTGTGGTTACAGGATTAAAACAGAAACAACTCAAAGGTTAACAGTTTAGGAACTTATTCAGAGTGGTTAAGGTTAGGGCTATGTTTTGGGGAAGGCTTAAAACAAAATAATAAAAAACGACGCGCCTATGTTTCATCAGTATTCATACTATTCTTAACACTCGCTAGAGCATTGTGATCTGCCATTGTGCAGTGGTCTAAGCAGAGTTTGCGGCCAGTGCTTGGCGATATAGTGACCAGCCTGAGACTAAATTAGGCCCACAAGTTAATTGGATTTATTTAAATGATTTCAAGAAGTAAAACAAATAGTCTGATAATTTACACAACAAAAAATATCTCAGCTCAATTAAATCATCTTTGGATAGGCTCAAATGCATAAACATCCTGACAGCTTTACGAAATGAAATATTAAAGCCACACAATACAGGTTTTCAATCCACACCAAAGACCAGAACTATATTGACAATTATACTGTACATAGCCTAACTATAAAACTTGGACGAGCATCCCCACTGGAGGAATGTTTGTCGTTCTGAAGTAGGCCTACATCTGTCAAACAGCTGATGGCCAAATCAGCTCATCAACTCACACCTTTCATTATGTAATAATGGATAGGCTAATGGGTAGCCTTCAGAATGTAGCCTATTGGAATATAATCAAATAATAAGGGACCTATTGTAGCCATCGATGGCACTAAGATTATCGGCAGCTGATGTCTCGTTAAACCATCAATACGCTCTAAATTCACCCGCACAGTTTATCTCAATAGCAACCATTATTGGTCACCTCATTACCGCTCCCTAAAAGAGGATGTCGGTGTTACCTTTGTCCTTGCAACCAAAGTATTTCAAGATATGTTCACCCTCTGGTTGGTATTGCAATCAGAACAACTTAGAGTCCTTTTTGAACAGACTAAGGGTGATTTGTCTGTTTGACCAGCATTCCATACAATAGATATAAAGTATTTACTGTTGGAATTTACCCGACACTAATGTTGGTGTAGCCTATAGTTAATATTTTATTGGTTTCCTATTTATGTTATCCAAAAGTGTCTGATATGGTCATTTCTTATCAAGATCGGGGGTAAAATATCCCTGGACTGTCCATATTTAAAAAAAAATTAAAACATGTAAATACATCTAGTAAATTGGGGGAATTGAGGTATTTGTGCCAGAAGGGTATGGGTTGGAATCGAAACCACGCAAACAGGGTAGGACTATATGTGCGCGCTGAAGGCAACAGGCCAAACCCACCCCACCCCACCCCACAAATGAACTCAATTTTGAACTTAGCCTCCACTTGAAACTTGTATGTCATAGCCTAGTGGAGACCAATATCTATCTTGTGTTATTAAGCTATATAAAACTACGGTTGTTGATGTGTATGAATGCATTTCAGATACATGTTTGTACATTTGAATGTTCTTGCCAACTGCCTTCTTTCTTTGGAAAACTTTTTGATGACTTGAAACTTTTTTTCTGTGCAGCGGCGGCCAGCAGGGCAGTGAGCTGTCATTTGGAGGAGTGGACACCACCAAGTACCAGGGTCAGATCTACTGGACCCCCGTCACCTCCCAGACATACTGGCAGATCGGCATCCAAGGGTCAGGATCAACCACACCAACCAAACATACTTAACCAGACACTGACATCAGAACCACTAAGAGCCGGCAAAAGCTGGGGTGAAAAACTTCTTTTGGAAGTTTTCAAAAAATGTCTAAGGCCGCTGTGAATGCTAGTCTGTCTGTCTTTCTGTCTGTCTAACACTAACCCTTGTATATCTCCAGGTTCCAGATCAATGGTCAGGAGACAGGGTGGTGTGGGCAGGGCTGCCAGGCCATCGTGGATACAGGCACCTCCATGCTGACTGCACCCGGACAGGTCATGGGAACTCTGATGCAGTCCATTGGAGCCCAGCAGGACCAATACGGACAGGTAGCAGGAAGCCACTATAAACCACTACAGACCAGTACTAACTGACACCATAAACCAGTGTAATCCAGAAGGGACAGTTTGGGGAAACCATTACAGAGTAAACCAGTACAGGGAGGTTTTGTCTCACTCATGTCTGTGAATTGTTTGTTGTTGTAGTACACAGTGAACTGTAACCAGATCAACAGCCTGCCTACTCTCACCTTCACCATCAATGGAGTCAACTTCCCCCTGCCACCATCTGCATACATCCAGCAGGTGAGTGTGTGTGTGTGTGTGTGTGTGTTTGTGTGTGTGTGTGTGTGTGTGTTACCCTCTAAGACTGACGTTAGGATAATGAAGGCCATTTTAGATGGCTCAAGCTGGTCCATAAGCCGTGTGTGTGTGCCTAAGCCATGTGTCAGTAGCGCATGTAATTGCATGTGTGGTGTGTGCATGCATGCGTGTTTGTCTGCGTGTGTGTGTGGATTGCACTCAACATGCGTGTTCTCCTCTCTCCAGAGCAACCAGGTCTGCTCCGTGGGGATCACCCCCACCTACCTGCCATCCCAGAACGGACAGCCCCTGTGGATTTTGGGAGATGTATTCCTCATGGAGTACTACTCCGTCTACGACCGCACAAGCAACCAAGTGGGCTTTGCCACCGCAGTCTAAACCTGACCAACATGACCATGACCGTAAACCAACACAGGCTCCGACCGTTCTTAGAACTCTACCACCCCAAACCTCACACCGAATCTATTCCACCTCTGGCCATTCTAGAACATCAATCACCAAAGGCAACTATTCTGAATCACCCATGGCAACCACTCTTGTCATTATAATATGCCTGTTACCCATGGCAACCACCGTGGGTCAGTTTGGCTTTGGTCCAGAGGGGTTAAAGCAAGCATTGACATCATTGGGTTAAAGCTGTGGTCTTTGTTGATGACATCTGCTAATATATTCAGTTCAGCTGTAAGGTTGTTTCCTTTCTACTCTGGCATTGCAATGACAACCTCCTAGTTCTCAGACAACATCGGATGTGAATACAGGTTCAGACATGTTGCTGATTGCATCATGAGTCTGAGTTGCAATTCTGAGTTGAGTGAAAAAGAGAATGAGCTACAGAAACACAGTGAAATATGAAAATATGATTTTTGACACTTAAATGCATTTTATCTCAAAACTGGATGTATTTGATATTAATTTAGTTTCCATTTAGACTGAATAAACGATTGAAGTGCACAATATTCCTATTTGTTTTGAATCCCTGTATATGACATATCAAGCTCATGATGCCTGTAAGACTGAAATCACACCTCACATTCACCAATGACAGTTGCCAGAAACTGCAACATAAAAGAACAAGAGCATCTTACCCAATTGGAGCCTGTAAATATATCCAACCATCTACACATCTTACCTATAGATGTATTACATAATGGCAGTAATAGCTAAATATCACTGAGTCAAATATGCCATCTGATAAATGGCATTAAGTCCTAAGTATCCTCAGGAGAGCACCAGCAGTGTATACTGTGAAAGGGACTTTAATGAAAGCTTCAACATTTCATTTCTCCTAACAAGCTCTCATTATCTCTGCAACATGGTCAGGGGCTGGTGTGTGTGTGTGGGTGCGTGTGCGTCCATGTGTGTATTTCTCTTTGTTTCTACACACACACACACACACACACACACACACACACACACACACACACACACACACACACACACACACACCCCTACACACACACACACACACATACCATCATAATATGTCTTAAACTGATTATGTCAGGAGCAGAGACTGCAAAGGGACACACACACACGTTTGTGATTTGACCCCCAGTCCTCATGTACCTGACCCCTCCACCCTCCACCCTTTAAAGGGAAGCATCTCTCTGACTCATGCCCACAAAGACTGCTCAGACCCTGGGGTATCCTGCTCTGAGATATGGCCTGTCACTGTCTATCTGGGTCTGTGCCTCATTCACCAGACACACAAGACACAAGAACTCACACACCCTCCATCTTTTGCTTTGCTCTCTAAGCAGTTCAGCCACTATTCTCTATTTTAACAGGTCCCCAGTTTACAGACACAATAGTGCTTAAATAAGTTCATCATCCTGTTTTCTTAGTTTCTATAAAACATCTGTATATCTGTGGTCCATTAGTTCCAACAGAGGTTCAGCTCTCTACTCCATTAGTAAGAAACTGTGTGAGGCTCAGAGGGAAATGCTGCATTGCAGGTTTTCTAGTGAGGACAAGACAGTCCAGACAGGGCCTAGTACAGATGTATACAGACCACTGTGAAGCAGGGTAAGTCAGAATATACATCAGAGGTAGAAATGTAGCCTACAGGGTGATACAGGGACAGAATTTGATATGTCATCAAATATTAAGTGCTTTCTGAAAATAAACTATTCAGGCCTTTGTGATCTCTCTTTACTGTAATAAAAAAGCACTTACAGGACTGTTGTTTCTGTATCAGTGTGTGTAGAAACTATCTCCAATTATGTTAACATTAGAAATGACAACTCGGTAAATATCTGGAGAACAATTTGCATGCACATTGTTATTCATGACCTTGGAGAGGTGTTCATATCTCAGTGTATTTTGCTGTATATCTATATTACTGATTAACACTAAGTGCTTATAATGCAGTAACTAGGGGATTTCCAATGACACAGCCAAAACAATGGAAATCTCCACTCTTTCAGAGCCATTTTGAAACAAATACACAGTTGTGGAAAAAGTACTCAATTGTCATAATTGAGTAAAAGTAAAGATATCTTAATAGAAAATGACTCAAGTAAAAGTGAAAGTCACCCAGTAAAATACTACTTGAGTAACACATCTAAAAGTATTTGGTTTTAAATATACTTAAGTATCAAAAGTAAATGTAGTTGCTAAAATATACTTAAATATCAAAAGTGTTCTTTAATTTACAGATAGCCAGGGATGCACTCCAACCCCCATGCATCATTTAGTGAGTAGGTCAAATCACAGGCAGTAGGGATGACATTTACATTTTAACAGACGCTCTTATCCAGAGCGATTTACAGTTAGTGAGTGTATACATTTTCATTTTGCTATGGCTGGCCATGCTTTCCACCTGGCTACCCCTACCCCGGCCACCAGCTCTGCAACCTCCGCTGCAACTTGCCTCTATTGGGGTGCCACAGGGTTCAATTCTCGGGCCGACTCTATTCTCTGTGTATATCAATGATGTCGCTCTTGCTGCTGGTGACTCTCAGATCCACCTCTACGCAGATGACACCATTTTGTATACATCTGGCCCTTCATTGGACACTGTGTTAACAAACCTCCAAACGAGCTTCAATGCCATACAACACTCCTTCAGTAGCCTCCAACTGCTCTTAAACGCTAGTAAAACTAAATGCATGCTCTTCAATCGAACGCTGCTTGCACCCGCCCGCCCGACTAGAATCACTACTCTCGGAGGGGCTGACTTAGAATATGTGGACAACTACAAATTCCTAGGTGTCTGGTTAGACCGTAAACTATCCTTCCAGCCTCACATTAAGCATCTCCAATCCAAAGTTAAATCTAGAATCGGCTTCCTATTTCGAAAACAAAGCGTCCTTCACTCATACTGCTAAACATGCCCTCGTAAAACTGACTATCCTACCAATCCTTGACTTTGGCGATGTCATTTACAAAATAGCTTCCAACACTCTATTCAGCAAATTGGATGTAGTCTATCACAGAGCCATCCGTTTTGTCACCAAAGGCCCATATACTACCCACCATTGTGACCTGTACGCTCTCGTTGGCTGGCCCTCACTACATATTCGTTGCCAAACCCACTGGCTCCAGGTCATCTATAAATCACTGCTAGGCAAATCCTCGCCTTATCTTAGCTCATTGGTCACCATAGCAACACCCACCCGTAGTATGCGTTCCAGCAGGTATATCTCTATGGTCATCCCCAAAGCCAACACCTCCTTTGGCGCCATTCCTTCCAGTTCTCTGCTGCAAATGACTGGAACGAACTGCAAAAATCTCTGAAGCTGGAGACACATATCTCCCTCACTATCTTTAAGCATCAGTTGTCAGAGCAGCTTACCGATCACTGTACCTGTACACAGACCATCTGTAATTAGCCCACCCAACTACCTCATCCCCATATTGTTATTTACATTGTTATTTATTTTGCTAATTTGCACCCCAGTATCTTTATTTGCACATCATCTTCTGCACATATATCACTCCAGTGTTAATACTAAATTGTAATTATGTTGTACTATGGCCTATTTATTGCCTTACCTCCATAACTTACTACATTTGCACACACTGTATATAGATTTTCTATTGTGTTATTGACTGTACGTTTTGTTTATTGCATATGTAACTCTGTGTTGTTGTTGTTTTTATCGCACTGCTTTGCTTTATCTTGGCCAGGTCGCAGTTGTAAATGAGAACTTGTTCTCAACTGCCTTACCTGGTTAAATAAAGGTGAAATAAAAAAACATGTTGGAAAAACTTGTCAATAATCAACTGACTGGCTTTCTTGATGTCTATAGTATTCTCTCTGGTATGCAATCTGGTTTCCGCTCAGGTTATGGATGTGTAACTGCAACCTTAAAGGTCCTTAATGATGTCACCATTGCCCTTGATTCTAAGCAATGTTGTGCTGCTATTTCTATTGACCTGGCCAAAGCTTTTGATATGGTAGACCATCCCATTCTTGTGGGCCACCTACAGAGTATTGGTGTCTCAGATGGGGTGTTTGGCCTGGTTTGCTAACTACCTCTCTCAAAGAGTGCAGTGTATAAAGTCAGAACACTGACAGCTGTGGCTGCTTCGCGTGATGGATTGTTGTCTCTACCTTCTTGCCTTTGTGCTGTTGTCTGTGTCCAATAATGTTTGTACCATTTTATGTGATGGTACCATGTTGTGCTGCTGCCATGTTGTGTTGCTACCATGTTGTTGTCATTTGGTGTTGCTGCCATGCTATGTTGTTGTCTTAGATCTCTCTTTATGTACTGTTGTGTTGTTTCTCTTGTCGTGATTTGTGTTTTGTCCTATATTTTTATTTTCTATCCAAGCCCCCGTCCCCGCAGGAGGCCTTTTGCCTTTTGGTAGGCCGTCATTGTAAATAAGAATTTGATCTTAACTGACTTGCCTAGTTAACTTAATTTTATTAATTTTTTTACAAAAAAGCCTAATCAGTAGCCTATAACCAATGTTTCATTAAAAATATAATGAGCAGCAAAACGGTCAACAGACATTCCTGTTATTTCTTCATATAAATGGTGATGGTAGGCTAATATTATTATAGCTTAACGTTTGGGCATTGTCCAATTGTTCATGGCTTGAATATGCAGTGCATTTTTGAAATGCGAATGCCAGGTGTGTAGACAAATATTTCCATGTTGAAGCCAATAACAAAAACTAGATTGGCTACATGTTTGTTATAACTACGCCTATTGTAGGGTTACTGTATACCATTAAAAAATATATCTTCGATGAATAGGAAAAACATCCATGCCTCCGGCCGAAGAGCCCTTAGGCCAACATGTGCACACATTGCCTTATGATCATGGAACAAGAGATTTGATTTAGAATATCGTGTTTTTAACCCAATCTTATTTGGAAATATTGTTGTTACTTGGTTTAATTTGATTAAAAACCAAACTTATTAGAAAGATTCACATCCATGAGTTTACGTTGAGAACGTACATGGCTCGAATACAATGGAATGTCTTCTGCTATTTCTGGAGAAGTGCAAATATGATGTAAAATGAATTCTCTGAAAATGTACAGTTACCCGACACTTTGTATGAAAGGAAACTAATGTTGGTGTAGCCTACTGTTATTATTTTATTTGTTTCCTGTTTATGTAATCCAAAAGTGTCTGGTATGGTCATTTCTTATCAAGATCGGGGGTACAATATCCTAGACTGTCCATATTTGAAATGTGTAACTAAACCAACTCAATCGGGTGGATTGAGTTACGTGTGCCAGAAGGGTGTGGGCTGGAATCAAATCCATGGCAACAAGGTAGGCATATCTATGTGTGCTGAAGGCAGCGTCCCAAACTGCTAGAACACCCCAGGCCAGAATTAAACAAAATGTTGACAGTTTATTCGTAACCTTAAGATACACTTGAAACTTGTACGTCATAGCCTAGAGGAGACCAATATCGACCTTGTGTTATTAAGCTATATAAAACTACGGTTGTTGACATTTATGGCTGCATTTCAGATAACATTTTTGTACATTTGAATGTTGCAGCGATAGGCCCTAGGCCTAGCGTTTGAGGGAGTTAGAGAGACAATTATTTTGATAGCAGGCCTGATCCCAATGCCTCAACTGCCCCCAGATGGAGAGAAAGAGAACAGCTAATTTTCAGGGACTCACAAGGCTCATTTGAATTTCTTGATGCAGCAGGAAAATTCTCTGTGACAAAAGAACGATCAAGTTAAGATCCGACATTTGTATGTTTAACAATGTATTTCCATATTGAAGCAATGCAATTAGAACAATATGGACTGCAAACACGTTAAACATACACAAAATGACCAAAAGTATGTGGACACCTGCTGGTCGAACACCTCATTCCAAAATCATGGGAATTAATATGGAGTTGGTCCCCTCTTTGCTGCTATAACAGCCTCGACTCTTCTGGGAAGGCTTTCCACTAGATGTTGGAAAGTTGCTGCGGGGACAGCCACAAGAGAATTAGTGAGGTCGGGCACTGATGTTGGGCGATTAGGCCTGGCTCGCAGTCGGCATTCGAATTCATCCCAAAGGTTTTAGATGGAGTTGAGGTCAGGGCTCTGAGCAGGCCGATCAAGTTTTTCCACAACGATATCGACAAACCATTTCTGTATGGGACTCGCTTTGTGCACAGGGCCATTGTCATGCTGAAACAGGGCCTTCCCCAAACTGTTGCCACAAAGTTGGAAGCACAGAATTGTCTAGAATGAATTGTATGCTGTAGTGTTAAGATTTTCCATCACTGGAACTAAGGGGCCTAGCCTGAACCATGTAAAACAGCCCCAGACCATTATTCTTACACCACCAAATTTTACAGTTGGCACTATGCATTTGGGCAGGTAGAATTCTCCTGGCATCCGCCAAACCCAGATTAGTCAGTCAAACTGCCAGATGGTGAAGCGTGATCCATCACTCCAGAGAACGCGTTTCCACTTCTCCAGAGTCCAATGGCGGCGTGCTTTACCCCACTCCAGCCGACGCTTGGCATTGCGCATGTTGATCTTAGGCTTGTGTGCGGCTGCTTGGCCATGGAAACCCATTTCATGAAGCTCCCGACGAACAGTTATTGTGCTGACGTTGCTACCAGAGGCAGTTTGGAACTTGGTAGTGAGTGTTGCAACTGAGGACAGACTATTTTTACGCACTTCAGTACTCGGCGGTCCCTTTCTGTTAGTTTGTATGGCCTAACACTTCGTGGCTGAGCCGTTGTTGCTCCTAGACGTTTCCATTTCACAATAACATCACTTACAGTTGACCGGGGCAGCTCTAGCAGGGCAGAAATTTGACAAACCCCTTTGATGGAAAGGTGGCATCCTATGACGGTACCACGTTGAAGGTCACAAAGCTATTCAGTAAGGCCATTCAACTGCCATTGTTTGTCTATGGAGATTTCTCATTATTCTGGTTATGAAAATAGCAAAAATATTTCTGACACCGCTGTACCTATAGCGCTACCGTCAGCGAAAAGATGTATCGTTGCGTTCGGTTTGTAAAAATAGAGCCCTGTATCGTATCTGATCTGGTTATCTCCCTTATAAAGGTTCAGTAAACTAACAGCATTGTTTGGTTAGTGCTGCTATCGGTACAGGGGAGTAGGGGCTGGCCTGAACACTGAATAGAGAATGTGGAGTCAGGGGAAAAAGGAGCTGATAGTCACCTCCTTAAGTCTGATAATGAATGTGTACACACACACGCGTGCCCATATCACACCCGCTTGCATTCATATGTGCACATATTTGTGTTTGGTACAGTATATAAGAACAGTACTGACCCAAGCTAAGGTGTATTCACCAGTGGTTGTGATTTCAGGAGTGACCATGAAGAGTCTCGTTATTGTGTTGGTATGTGCTGTGCTCGCTGAGGGACTCCACAGGTAAGTGCTCCAACCACACATCTCTCTTTCTCTCTCACTTCAAATAATATAGTCTCTCACATTCTTTCCTTTTCACATTTTCACTCCATCCAGTTGCCCTTTTTCCCTAAATCCTCCCTAAAACACTTTTCTTTTCTCATCTCTCATAGTCACTGATAACTCCTTGTCGCTCTCTCTCCTCCTCTTTGCAATTGCAAAGTTCACCTTCATATGACAATCTGAGTGTATCTGTGTGCTTGTTACCCTAGGATCCCTCTGGTGAAGCATAAGTCAATCCGTGAGAGAATGATGGAGAAGGGAGAACACCTGCCCTACCAAGACCCCGCTCTCAAATACTTTCCTGATGAGTTCGCTGGCTCCACCACCATGTACATCAACAACTACGCTGACGTACGTACATGCTCTAAAACACAAGCTTATGGTCTATCTAGAATGTTAGTCAATGTCCTATCTGTCTATATCCATAGTAGTCTATTTTCATATTCTAGAATGAAGTTCTATGATGTAGGCTGATGTAGAAAATATGAATTCTAGTTCTAACTAATTAAATAACTACCATGTCAAGATAACGACTAACTCCATGATCTAGACTCTAAACCACGCAAACCACTCTAGATCTGAATGCTTTGTTGTCTGAATGTATTAGCAGCATCTCTATCTTTGTCAACTGTATTTTCCCTGTTGTGTTTTCCAGACCACCTACTACGGAGCCATCAGCATCGGTACTCCCCCACAGTCCTTCCAGGTGTTGTTTGACACTGGCTCTGCCAACCTGTGGGTTGACTCCGTACTCTGCAACACTCAGGCCTGCAGTGAGTACAGCTGGATAGCTTCATGACAATGAATGCCACTGCTAGCTACTATCACAACTACCTACTATGTGTATCAATTAAATACTACTTCCTCAACAATAAATGTTACTAACTGTACTACTACTACTATTACTACTACTAATACTACTACTACTACTACTACTACAGTACTTCTACTACTACTATTACTATCATAGACATTTAAGTCCATTATCACTTCTACACACTTCCCAGATAAATAATTAGAAGACAGTATATTTCCTCTTTAAGTTGTTTGTGACCCTTCCTCCTGCAGACACCCACACAAAGTTCAACCCCCAGCAGTCGTCCACCTACTCAGCCAATGGGAATACTTTCTACCTACCCTACGGAGCTGGCAGTCTCAGTGGAGTCTTCGGATATGACACCGTCAACGTGAGTCCCAGCATAACAACCTTACAAATACTAAAGTCCTTCTACCACAGTTATTCTTCATTACAAGCAATAATAAGCCACAACAGATACAGCCACAACAGTACAATTACTTCCATTCTAACAAAACCAAAGTGTTCCATGATGCAGAGTGTGTGTGTTGTTTGTCACCTCTTTAGGTTGGTGGGATTGTCATCACCAACCAGGAGATTGGTCTGAGCACTGACGAGCCAGGTCAGAACTTTGTTGTGGCCCAGTTTGATGGTATCCTGGGCCTGTCCTACCCTTCCATCTCAGCCGGACAAGAAACTCCCGTCATGGACAACATGATGTCACAGAACCTTCTGCAGGCTGACCAGTTCGCTTTCTACATGACCAGGTCAGTACTCCTACCATTACTTATAACACACATATACCACTACCACTACTTACCACACATCTACCACTACCAGTACTTACCACACATATACCACTACCACTACTTACCACACATATACCACTACCACTACTTACCACACATATACCACTACAGATGTCGGATCTAAATTGGACGCCTATCGTCGCAGGAGGAAAATAATCCTGCAGAGGAGGAATTGAATAACTGAATAATTATTTAGAATTAATTGTTTTAGATCAATTGTTTTATTATATGTTGAAGGCAAGCAATAGGCAGAATAAATTATTGTTTTCCTCAATTCCTGTGTGGGCCAGCGGTTACAGTCACTGAACCCGGCACATATATGTCAGAGTCGCATGGGTTCAAATTCTGCCCTTTGACTCATGGATCAATGTCTATTTTGACGCATTCATTCTGTGTGGTTACAGGATTAAAACAGAAACAACTCAAAGGTTAACAGTTGAAAATGCATTCCGATTGGTTAAGGTTAGGGCTATGGTTTGGGGAAGGCTTAAACAAAATAATAAAATTGACGCGCCTATGCATCATCAGTATTCATAATATTCTTAATGCTCGCTAGAGCATTGTGATCTGCCATAGTGCAGTGCTCTAAGCAGCTCGCTCAGAACCTCATGAGTTTGCGCACAGTGCTTGGCGATATACTGTAGTGACCAGCCTGAGACTAAATTAGGCCCACAAGTTAATTGGATTTATTTAAATGATTTCAAGAAGTAAAACAAATAGTCTGATAATTTACACATCTTTGGATAGACTCAAATGCATAACCATCTTGACATTACATTATTTAAGAGACGCTCTTATCCAGCACGACTTACATTATTTTTTTTTTCAAACTGGCCCCCCGTGGGAATTGAACCCACAACCCTGGCGTTGCATGCTCTACCAACTGAGCTACATCCCTGCTGGCCATTCCCTCCCCTAGACGATGCAGGGCCAATTATGCGCCGCCCCATGGGTCTCCCAGTCACGGCCGGCTTCGACAGAGTCTGGATTCGAACCAGGATCTCTAGTGGCACAGCTAGCACTGTGTTGCAGTGCCTTAGACCACTGCGCCACTCGGGAGGCCATACAAATTGAAATATTAAAGCCACACAATACAGGCTTTCAATCCACACCAAAGACCAGAACTATATTGACAATTATACTGTACATAGCCTAACTATAAAACGTGGACGAGCATCCACACTGGAGGAAAGTTTGTCGTTCTGCAGTAGGCCTACATCTGTCAATCAGCTGATGGCCCAAATCAGCTCATCAACTCACACCTTTCATTATGTAATAATGGATAGGCTAACAGGTAGCCTTCAGAATGTAGCCTATTGGAATATAATCAAATAACAAGGGAACTATTGTAGCCATCGATGGCACTAAGATTATCGGCAGCTGATGTCTCGTCAACCATCAATACGCTCTAAATTCACCGGCACAGCTTATCTCAATAGCAACCATTATTGGTCACCTCATTACCGCTCCCTAAAAAAGGATGTCAGTGTTACCTTAGTCCTGCTTGCAACCAAATTCTTTCAAGATATTTTCACCCTCTGGTTGGTATTGTAATAAGCACAACTTAGAGTCCTTTTTGAACAGACTAAGGATGATTCATCTATTTGACAAGGATTCCATACAATATAAATAAAGTATCTACTGTGGGAATTTACATGACACTAATTTTGGTGTAGCCTATAGTTAATAATTTATTGGTTTCCTATTTATGTTATCCAAAAGTGTCTGATATGGTCATTTCTTATCAAGATCGGATGTAAAATATCCCTGGACTGTCCATATTTAAAACATGTAAATATATCTAGTAAATTGGGGGGATTGAGGTATTTGTGCCAGAAGGGTATGGGTTGGAATCGAAACCACGCAAACAGGGTAGGACTATATGTGCGCGCTGAAGGCAACAGGCCAAACCCACCCCACCCCACCCCACAAATGAACTCAATTTTGAACTTAGCCTCCACTTGAAACTTGTATGTCATAGCCTAGTGGAGACCAATATCTATCTTGTGTTATTAAGCTATATAAAACTACGGTTGTTGATGTGTATGAATGCATTTCAGATACATGTTTGTACATTTGAATGTTCTTGCCAACTGCCTTCTTTCTTTGGAAAACTTTTTGATGACTTGAAACTTTTTTTCTGTGCAGCGGCGGCCAGCAGGGCAGTGAGCTGTCGTTTGGAGGAGTGGACACCACCAAGTACCAGGGTCAGATCTACTGGACCCCCGTCACCTCCCAGACATACTGGCAGATCGGCATCCAAGGGTCAGGATCAACCACACCAACAAAACATACTTAACCAGACACTGACATCAGAACCACTAAGAGCCGGCAAAAGCTGGGGTGAAAAACTTCTTTTGGAAGTTTTCAAAAAATGTCTAAGGCCGCTGTGAATGCTAGTCTGTCTGTCTTTCTGTCTGTCTAACACTAACCCTTGTATATCTCCAGGTTCCAGATCAATGGTCAGGAGACAGGGTGGTGTGGGCAGGGCTGCCAGGCCATCGTGGATACAGGCACCTCCATGCTGACTGCACCCGGACAGGTCATGGGAACTCTGATGCAGTCCATTGGAGCCCAGCAGGACCAATACGGACAGGTAGCAGGAAGCCACTATAAACCACTACAGACCAGTACTAACTGACACCATAAACCAGTGTAATCCAGAAGGGACAGTTTGGGGAAACCATTACAGAGTAAACCAGTACAGGGAGGTTTTGTCTCACTCATGTCTGTGAATTGTTTGTTGTTGTAGTACACAGTGAACTGTAACCAGATCAACAGCCTGCCTACTCTCACCTTCACCATCAATGGAGTCAACTTCCCCCTGCCACCATCTGCATACATCCAGCAGGTGAGTGTCTGTGTGTGTGTGTTTGTGTGTGTGTGTGTGTGTGTGTGTTACCCTCTAAGACTGACGTTAGGATAATGAAGGCCATTTTAGATGGCTCAAGCTGGTCCATAAGCCTTGTGTGTGTGCCTCAGCCATGTGTCAGAAGTGCATGTAAATGCATGTGTGGTGTGTGCATGCATGCGTGTTTGTCTGCGTGTGTGTGTGTATTGCACTCAACATGCGTGTTCTCCTCTCTCCAGAGCAACCAGGTCTGCTCCGTGGGGATCACCCCCACCTACCTGCCATCCCAAAACGGACAGCCCCTGTGGATTTTGGGAGATGTATTCCTCATGGAGTACTACTCCGTCTACGACCGCACAAGCAACCAAGTGGGCTTTGCCACCGCAGTCTAAACCTGACCAACATGACCATGACCGTAAACCAACACAGGCTCCGACCGTTCTTAGAACTCTACCACCCCAAACCTCACACCGAATCTATTCCACCTCTGGCCATTCTAGAACATCAATCACCAAAGGCAACTATTCTGAATCACCCATAGCAACCACTCTGGTCATTTTAGAACACATATTACCCATGGCAACCACTCTGGTCATTTTAGAACATATATTACCCATGGCAACCACTGTGGGTCAGTTTGGCTTTGGTCCAGAGGGGTTAAAGCAAGCATCGACATCATTGGGTTAAAGCTGTGGTCTTTGTTGATGACATCTGCTAATATATTCAGTTCAGCTGTAAGGTTGTTTCCTTTCTACTCTGGCATTGCAATGACAACCTCCTAGTTCTCAGACAACATCAGATGTGAACACAGGTTCAGCCATGTTGCTGATTGCATTATGATGCTGAGTTGCAATTCTGAGTTGAGTGAAAAAGAGAATGAGCTACAAAAACACAGTGAAATATGAAAATAAGATTTTTGACACTTAAATGCATTTTATCTCAAAACTGGATGTATTTGATATTAATTTAGTTTCCATTTAGACTGAATAAACGATTGAAGTGCACAATAATCCTATTTGTTTTGAATCCCTGTATATGACATATCAAGCTCATGATGCCTGTAAGACTGAAATCACACCTCACATTCACCACTGACTGTTGCCAGAAACTACAACAAAAAAAAACAACAAGAGCATCTTACCCAATTGGAGCCTGTAAATATATCCAACCATCTACACATCTTACCTATATAAATATTTATTACATAATGGCAGTAATAGCTAAATATCACTGAGTCAAATATGCCATCTGTTAAATGGCATTAAGTCCTAAGTATCCTCAGGAGAGCACCAGCAGTGTATACTGTGAAAGGGACTTTAATGAAAGCTTCAGCATTTCATTTCTCCTAACAAGCTCTCATTATCTCTGCAACATGGTCAGGGGCTGGTGTGTGTTTTTGTTTGTTTCTAATTACCCTCTTTGACTGACATTAGGATAACGGAGGCCATTTTAGATGGCTCAATCTGGTCCATAAACCTTGTGTGTGTGCCTAAGGCAAGCCAATATCAGTAGTGCATGTGAATGCATGCGTGTAGTGTGCATGCATGCATGTTTGTCTGCATGTGTGTGTGTGTGTGTGTGTGTGTTTGTTCGTGTGTGTGTGTTGTGGTGTGTGTGTCTGATTAGGATGAAAGCTCATTAGTGAAATATTCAGGATTCTACAGTGACACATTTTCACCACATCATGAAACACACACACAGGTATGCACACTCATGCATTCATGCACTCACACATGTACGCACACACGTGTGCACACACTCAACAGCATGAACTTATAACATGAATATCACACACTCGATCATCCTTAATAATACAGATCAGAGCCTGCAGTCAATAAAAGTAGCAGAGAGCCCACTCTAGAAATGTGATGTAAAAAAATGAACAAAATCCAAAAAGGTTACTTTGGAGATATAAATGAATGTAAATAAAGTGTATTCTCTAAACACTACTCATGTTACAGAACACACGATAAGGTTTCAGATGACACTAATATTGGCATTGTAGCATCTACAGACTCATCATTGTAGTTTCTTAAAAAAGGACTGCGTATGGCCAAAATATCACACATTTCACAGCTTTAAAGCTGGAATCCTTAATGGTGAAACTGCCATGTCGGTTTGGGATATTACATCAACAAAGAAGTTACTGCAAACAAACAGTGTTTTTTCCCCCTCAGACATTATTGCACGCACGATAGAACACCAGAATATGTACTGCAATAGATTTTTACCCCACTGCTCCACGCAGCTTACCTCAATTTCATCCACAAAACAAAAACAATAACAAAGGTGCTGTTTCCCCTAATGCAGATTCCATCTTTAATTCGCTATTTTTTAATCATTCTTTTGGAATTGACCTTTATGCAACAAGTCCAAGTCTAGAAATATAGAGAAACCTGGAAAGGTTATGGAAAGATTTTACGTTAGAACAGGTGAAGGGATAAAGATAAGGAGAGGAAGCAACATTGGACTATTGAAATACATGACTGATGATTTAAAGTAAGTTAATATCTCAGAGGAGGAGGGAGGAGATGATGTCACACATCAGTTCCTCCACCTTCCTTCCTTCGCCTTCGCCCTCTCCCCTCCTCCTCCTCCCCTACTCTCCTCCCTCCTCCTCCCCTACTCCCACCTCTTCTCTCTCCTCCTCCTCCTCCTCCTCCTCCAATTAATCTCCAGGGGACCTGTTTTTCTCCAACAGTACAATCCTAATGATACCACATCAACAGAATCAGGATGTGTCTGTGTGTCTGTGTGTCTGTGCGTCATGATGGAAAATCACCACAGCTGGCTCTCCATACGTGTCGCCATGGCGGCTGTCAATACACCAGGGGGAATGAAGACACATGATTGGCTGATTGGCTCAAGAGATTGAGAGAAAATGAGAAATGGAGAAAGGGAGGGGAAGAGAGATGAGTAAGGAGGGAGAGCCAGATGGGAAAAGGAGGATGAGGCTAAACAAATGTTTCGGATATCTGGGGGGACGAGTCACATCATCAGCTGTGGTATGAGAGAGGGGCAGATGGGGAAGTGTGTGTGTGTGTGTGTTGTGTGCATGTGTGTGTGTGGGGGGGAGTGACTCACATACAGGTTAAACGGGGTGATGTCACCTCCAGCTGCAGTAGCTCCAGGGAGTGGCCCTGTCTACGGTGGGCATGTCCAGTGGGGCACAGAACTGAGCCAATCACAGCACGGTAAAGAGAAGAAGAATGTGAATTAATTCATGTAATATTACAGAATAGAAATAGGGATTCACCTCATTACATTTCTATCTGCAACGTTCTGAACGTTTCACCCAAAAGAATACACCCACGTCGTTGAGGGCTCCGTTTCTCCTTGGTACTTGATCAATTAATAAATGAATGCTATTACCCATGTGACTGCCCTACGCAGCACATCCAAACATAAAAATGAGGAAGAGAACCTTACAATAATCATCACCAGAATCAGGTGAAATAGCAGCAATCTTTACACATAGCTCACAAACCCTAACGCTAATATCCATATTTAAAGCAGACATTTTGACTGCTCACTATATGATCCTATTGGTATTGTGCTTTGTCAGGTCCAGGAGTTTAGTGTACTGCTGTGTCTGTCTACAGAATCCATTTAATCAATCTATCTATCTATCTATCTATCTATCTATCTATCTATCTATCTATCTATCTATCTATCTATCTATCTATCTATCTATCTATCTATCTATCTATCTATCTATCTATCTATCTATCTATCTATCTATCTATCTATCTATCTATCTATCTATCTATCTATCTATCTATCTATCTATCTATCTATCTATCTATCTATCTATCTATCTATCTATCTATCTATCTATCTATCTATCTATCTATCTATATATCTATATATCTATCTATCTATAGTGCTGTGGCTCTCCTGCAGCCCTGCAATATGTGTCACAGTTAAATGTGTCTCCATTTCCCGCCACCTGCAAGCATTGAGGAATGTGTGTCACACCAAAAAGCTGCATACTTACTGGGGGTAATAATAATATGCAAGCATAAGGCCACTAGTCCTCTCTCGCTCAATCGCTTCTACCTCTGTCTTTCTCTTTCACTTTCTAGTTCTCTCCCTCAACCTCAAACTCACCCTGACCCTGTCACTCAAAGGAAATGAGGGGAGGAAGTCTGTTTAGAATATTGAGAGTAGTCCAGTGGCATTGACTGCATAAAATGTATCACGCTATAATACAGCATGCCCCCTCGCTGCTTAAGCAGTGTTGCAATGTGTATCACGCCATAATGTGTCCCCCTCCTTAGCCAGTGTAGCAGTGACTGGTCCCTTCTTCTGCACGTGATCCTGCATAAATCATAGGGTCAGAGAGGAAACTGTGGCCTTATTAGGGCATGGAGACAAGAGACCAAAACCATGTCACAACCTAGTCTTTTACAACCTGGATCTGACACTGAGGAGGAAGGGGGATCCATGAATATGTGTCTTCCATTGTAAACTGCACTGCCATTCTATCCTACGTCTCTTCTGTTGTGTCTGTGTATTGTATCAGATGTGATTTGGCTCGTAGTGTAGTCGTAGTAGACAGGTCCCTGTCTCTGTCTCTGCCCTGTTGCTGGTCTATAGCCCGTGCTGTGCTATGAGTCTTTCCCTTCCTCTCTCTTCCTCCCTCCCTCTCTCTCCCTCTCTCAGACTGATGACCAGTCCTTGAGCCACAGACTTGTTCTTCCATCCTCCCTCTGTCATTTGTGATCATATCAGAGCAGAGCAAAGCAGACTAGGGCCGGATTTCCCGATAGCGATGGAACTTTGGCTTTAACAATGCATCTTTCCTACAACGGCCGAAGATATAACATGCGTTTCCCAAAACACCACGCAGAGAGAACAGTCGCTAAGAGCGTCGTTAAGGCATCGTGTCAATACTGATAGGATCGAAAGAAAGGGAGTGCTGCTCTCAGATCAGCTTTCTCCATTCAAATCTGACCTTAACATTATAATTATTTCACAATACTGACGATGGATCAGCTCCTAGAGAGTTATTACCACCTACGGATGCAAATATTGAGGCGGCTTATTATAATGCTTACCTAATAAAAATGCAATAAATCACAAATTTGGCACACGTTTGGCTACACATCATGAAATATATTGAGACAAATCACAGACAGTAGCCTACAAATAGCAAAATATAACTCTATTAATTGAACATTAAATGTATTTCAATACGATTGAATTAGGACAATAGCCTACTGTTTATATTTTACAGTTTTTCTCAGTCGCTTTGGTGCATTTCTTAGATCAAAAGTGCAATTCTTGATACTACTTGTACAAATTCCAAATCATCTAGTCACTTGTGCACATCATTAAAGCAATTTCTTATTCCTTTGAACAAATTGCAATTGCTTTTGTACATATTGCAATTGATAATGTACAAGTGTCAGCTTTTTTCCACATTTTCAATTGCTCATGTCATGTTGATCAAAATATAGTAGATGGTTCTCTGTTGAATAGTCTTACCCCTCAAAACATCTAGGCATTAGTTCCTTGCATAAGCCATTACATGCAAAATTGTTGAACTATTTGTCATAAACTGTCAAGCATAGTTTTACACATTTCTATTAGACCTTTTGTACAAAAACGTAAATTGCTGAATCGTGCAGGTGAAATTAACCCTCACTCATGAAGGAATGTAAAGTGTTAGTTCAACCAACAATCAACCAGTTGTCTAAATTGCTCAAAGGTGCATCTCATGAAGAATCAATTGGCAAGCATATATAGACAGACCACAACACAGAGTTGCAATTTTCCAATAATGGATGGACCAGGAAACGAACAGGGTCAACAGCCAAGAGGAGGAAGAAGAGGAGCAAGGATGCGTGGTGGAAGGCAAAACAGAGGAAGAGGCAGAAGAGGACATAGGCGCATATCTGATGACATAAGGGCCACTATTGTAGACCATGTTGTCAATCATGGCCTTACAATGGCTGAGGCGGGTCGAAGGGTGCAGCCGAATATTGGGAGATCAACCGTGTCCTCA